ACAGTATAATGGTATTTATTGAATTATAAACACAATGGATGATTTTTATTGAAACAATAGGAAAATTTTATCCATTCTATTTTTATTATTCATTCCAATTTTATTATTTTTTTAAATCGAATCTAATTTAGTAGATTTTTCATTATTACAAACTTCTTACTTCTAAATTTGTAAATTCGAAACTGTAAAACCTCACATACATCGGAAATAATCAACCGATCCAATTTATTTAATTCATACTAAAAGAAAATCAACCTATTTAGATTTCAATGACATCTTTATTGGGTTGTAAATTTCCCCGATCTATAAATGTACTAGTTTATTATTTGAATACAATAATCCGCAGCAAATTAAATTTTTTTATCAAAAGAAATCTAGTTTAAGGAAAAAATTAAATTTAATCTATATGAAAAATTCAAAAGGTAGTAAACAAAAAAAAATTAAAATAAAATGTATTCTCAAATTATATATGCACAATCAGTTTTTATAAATTTCATTTTACTAAAAAGATTCATAAGGAGAAAAAAAAAAAAAAATATACAAAATATCATCTTTCAACCATTGTTTTGTACTCTCAACCAACCGCTTACACTAGTATAAAAAACAAAACAAATCTTGCTCTGCAATATTTCATTTTTTTTAAAAAGAAAAGAAATAATGATACAAACTGAGAAAAGAAAAAGAGTATAAAAAAGAAATTCCTATCGCAATAAAGATAAAAAAAAATAAAAAAAATAATAATAATAATAATAATAAAAAAACAATATATATATATATTATAAACATTTAGAAAATAAACCCCCGATGGTAATAATAATAAATCTCAAAAGACATGCAAAGACATAATGTATATACAAATTTGAAGATGCTATGTCACATCAAATATAAATAAAAGAAAATTTTTTCTGCATCAAGTTTCAAAACATACGCTTGTAATTTTCAAAACTTTTGAAGTTCATTACGTTTAAGATATGCCATAGGACGTGAGTTTTGCGACGGTGATTGAATAGGTACCGCAATTGAATCGTCTTTTGAAGAAGGATCACCAGTAACGCTAACGCTTTCCGAATATCTTTGCCCAAAAGGATTATTATGAAGGTGATTCATCACAGTATCTTCTGTATTTGTTGTGATCCTTTTATCTTGTTGCTGTGATGAAATTTGATGTGATATATTTTGATCAAGTGCAAAAATTACTTGTGGAATTTCGACATGCCCACTTCCATTATGATGATGGCTTCCATTACCGATTTCAACACCCTGCTTCATAAGATCATTCCCAATAAGACTTCCTCCAATAGATGTTGTCACCAAATGATTTATATTACTATTATTATTATTATTATTATTATTATTATTTCCACTGGCTACAATGCCGCCCCCAATGTCAGCTTCATCCAAAGGCTCATAAACTTCTTCAAATCCAGATAATTCCATCTTCTCTCTTACGCTAGAGACCCAATCTTGATTATCTGGATTTTTCAAGAAATCAACCAGTTTCGAGAATTCTTCAACTAGAATTCTTTCCAATTTGGCCCCGCTCAGTTCTTTGGTCATTAATAATACACCTTTACCTAACAATTCACATAATATACTTAGGCGCCATGCACAGTTCAATCTATGTTTTCCAACTTCCTTACCGCCTGTTTGTTCTTTAATGTGAAGTGTAACGGTAGGATCTATAAAGGATGAATAAGTTGGGAAAGTAATTGGAGATGGTTCCGTTGAAGTTGGTGAGGTCGAATGATTTCTTTTGCTAGGAGAATTCATTTGATCTGAATGAATATTTTGGGCAACTTCTTCTTTGTAAGCATTGTATGTAGTAAATAATTTATACAATTCTAAATTAGAAAAAACTTTTGAAGAAATGCCATCGATACGAGATGTAGGCGGTGATTGAAGAAGGTGACATAAAAGATTCAACCGAGAAGACGATGATAAATTCAATGAGGTATTTGGTGGGCGAATACCAGAATAACTTTCTTTAATGGACGATATTAACAATTTTGACTCTTCAAGTCTTTGAAGAAGTGTGGTTTTTGAAATTCCGGTGAAAAGACGTTTAACAGCTTCACAACCTAAATGAAAAGACATCGAATTAAATCACGCAATCAAAATTAAACCTTTTCATTTTCTTGAAAAGAGAAGAAAATAATAAAATAAAAATATTTTGACTTACTCAATGGAGGAGCTTTGTGTTTATCAGTCGAACGTCTTTTCGATGATGTATTTTGTGGTGCACAATGATCCTCATCGGAAGGACTGTCACTGTTGCGTTTTCTTTTGGTGACAGTCGGTACATGTCTCCAGACCTCAGGTTCTGGCGGTGCCTCTTCGACAATCTCATCTTTCTCTAACTCATCCATCATATCTTCGTCTTCATCGTGATGATGTTGTTGTTGGTGGTGGTGATGTTGTTGTTGTTGATGATGATGTTGCTGCTGCTGTTGCTGTTGATGATGATGATAAGGGTGAGAGTCGGATGTTAAAGTAGGTTTAAATACTTTGATTTCTGAAGTATTATTCATCATATTAGATCCGTTTAACAAAAATTCATTACTATGTTGAGTTGGGGGGAAAAAATTATCATATCTCAGTTGATCTTCAAATTCAACTATATAATCTCGAGTGTTGTTGCTATTATTAGAAACAAGGTGTGTAAATGTGATCTTATTAGAGAATAAAAGACCTTTTAAACCCACGTCGTCAAGCACAGCTTTTATTATACATAATAAACTAGCTAATTTCAATGGTGATTCTTTACTTTTTTGCTTTAACACTTCTATAAGTCTAAGAGTTTGAGAGTCGGTAAGGATGTCGGCAATTGTAGGCTGTAGAAGTTGGGAAGGGGAGGAAGGATTTCTAGTCTCTAAAGAAGAAGGGCTTGAAAAGGAACGTTTATTTTTTTCACCAGACGCGAATTCAACAACACAAGCCTGTCCTCTAAAGTCAAACGCTAATGATTTTTTATTACCGAACACGCTTTCAGTAAAGTAGGGTTTACCTAACACGTATTTTATAACATTCAGCACACTTGCTAAAGAATATGCTGATGCAAAAGATTTTTCTCGTAATATCTCAGCCGCCTTTAAAAGTTGTACGTCCGTTACTACGTCGGCTATGGTCGGACGTAAAATGTTTAATTGAGAGGAAAGTGAAGCAAGTTCTCGCATTTTTTTTTATGTTTGATAATTATTAATATAGGCTGTTGAAAAACTCGTGGTATTCCAGCCCACGTCTATGTATAAAGAAATTTTTTCTATTTAATATTTTTTTTGTTTTATAACCGCAAACTGAAAAAAAAAAAAAATGTGTGAGAACAAAAGTCTAACGGGCGGTGCCGTGCGGAGTTATAGGTACCGTTAAAATAGAGTTTTTTTGGGCTACTGAACTGGGAGCGGTATCTTTCTGAAAGGCAAAAAACAAGCCGCCTTTGTATGACTTGAAGTTCGGCACATTTCTCCGGATAGGATTGGATCATCTTAACGGAAAACCGCCCATTTCAATACTGAATGACTTTTCTAAAAAATCATTCGTCGGCAACCAAATCGAGTTCGGAACAAAATCGGACAGTTCGTACAACGACCAGTTTTCATTTTTCCAAATAGAATTAGTTTGATGTTCGTACTTGAAACAACTAAACAAACTCCGAGTCGAGATTTTTGAGACGTGCCACAAAAAAAAAATTTTCACGTACGTTTCTTCCTCTCAAAAAAATGTTCAAAAGAAAATTGATATATTTTTCTATATTAAATCGACCTAATTTTGTTATTGATTTGTCTAAAAATTACGGAAAATGCCTCACTAGCACTATTAAATCCAAATGTAAATTTAAAATTAGGTTTTTATTATTATTTATAGCAACTTTTATTTACTATCTAATTTTTTTTTTATTTGCATTTCTAGACTTTAACGTTAATACACGTATCATACCAAGACGATTATATCAAATTCAACCGAAAAAAACAACTACAAACATTTCCAGCGCAACTTCAACCATCACAAATTCTATAAAAACAAACGAAGAACGCGTATCTTCACTCTCACTTAAAGAATCCGTTAAAAATTTTAATGAAAGATTAAAAAGGGGAGAATTGGTGATTTACAAATCTCCACAAGAGGCGAACAAATTCTTTTGGTGGTGGCATATTGCTGCTTTTTTGCAATTTATATTTTGGTATTCCTGATTTTCTTTTCTTTTCTTTTTTTTTTTTTTTTTCCGAAATCTTTTTAAAAATAAATCTCTAATGTGATTTTTTTTATGAATTAGGGCAAATTTGGCTGATTTATCATGGAGATTTCAACAAAGGAGGAAAACAGAACAAGTAAAATCAATTATTTGTTATTTGTTATTTGTTATTTATTTTAATTTAATATTAACCCTATTTTCAAACAAGTCAGAAATCCAGCAACAACATTTCATTTCTCGATAAATTTAAACCAGCCATATTTGTTGGATCTTATTTATCCGTAGGATTTGGAATTGGTGCTATAATGTTCATTATTCCTGCTAGGTAATACATGAAATACTGCGTCTTCCTTTAAACATACGCTTAATCATTATTCTTTCTAATAGGAGTGTGCAAACTATTAGCATATTAAAAAATGGAAAAATGGCTAAGATCATAACAGGCAGGAAATATAAATGGGGCAAAGAGAAAAAAATTCCTGTGAAAAAGCTGTATATAAGCCAACCAGCTTGGAATGGAAAAGGTAGATTTAAGAGGCGATGTTTAAAATCTAATGTAAATTTCACTTATAAATATGTAATTATATAGGGAATGCTATATTTCTCCGGAGTGAAAATGAAAGATTGGCGTACATGCTTGAGAGATCAGGTAATTTTGAAGATCCTAAGATATTTGATTTATTATTCTATAAAAACAAAAGTGACAAACAAGGTAAGTGAATCTAAAGAAATTTTTAGTTTTCAAGTAAACATTTTATTTTAAATAATAAAAATTTTAAATTATTATGCAAATGATTTAAATTAACACTTTTTAAATATTTGATTTCTTTGTATCAACTTCCTTATTATCGGTAGCATTTTCAATGCAATCATATAAATTTCTTAATAAATCCATACATTTTTCTGGCTCTGTTTCATTTTTTGCCAAACATTTATCAAATGCTTGTATCATTTCATTGCATTGCTTTTTAACTTGTCTTAACGTTGGAATACTAAATATATATATATTTTTTAAACTATAAATAATTATAAATCGAAATTTATCCAAAACTTTAAAAGTTACAATACTTAACTTATCTTCAGAACATTTAGTTAGTTCGTATTTCTCTTTTTGACATTTAATAGACCATTCTGTCGGGTTATTTTCTATACATCGTTGATATAATTCTAATTGCGTAGGACAATGTTTAAGTACAAGTTCGATTGTTGAATTCATTATTCTGATTTAGAAGTGAGATGTTCATGAGACTTTTTTTTTTTAATATTCGGTCAACTTTATTTCTTTTTTCAATACCTAATTTTAGATTGGGAATTACTGTATTCCGTTTTCTTTTCCTTTCTTTAATCCGATTTAGAATCATATTACGGTAATTTAGATGTCACTTTCAAATAATCAATCGGAGATTATACCGGATTCGGAGTAAATTAATCTATAAATTCCTACCATTAATGCAAACCGTCACCGATTTGTTGAGGTCCGAGATTTTCTTGTCGTTTGATCCGACTTGTTCGATAATCAGCATCCGGATCATTTCAAAAATCGTCCGATCTGAACCAATTTATATTTAATAGTAACTATTCCGGTTCACTACCTTGATTAGGGTATCTTGTGCTCAAAAATTAAATTTGCCAAGACAAAAAAAAAAAAAAATTCTAAAAATATCTTTTATTACAAGTAAATCTATATATCACTTACTGCCTTTGCTAACAATTCAATTTCTTATTTCTTTCTTAATTTGATTTATGATTTTCTTCAACAGCATTGTGATACTATCCATTTATTTCTTAATAAAACAAAAATATAAGATAAAAAATAATTACCATCTAGACTAATCTTTCATATAATTAGTATAATTATTTAATCATAATAATATATTTATTGGTATAATAACAATACTAATAAAATAAAAAATGTCAAGAATATACATTTTCTTATAAACCTTTAAAAATAAAAAACAGATATTGTTAGACTTATCACTTATTAGATCTTTCTTTAATAATATAAATATTTTTAAGAAATATTTTTTAAATAATATAATATTTAAAAATTTAAAAATTTTAGTAAAGATTTTTTAAACTATAAAATTTAAAGATCAAAATTTTAAAGAAATTTATCTACAATTGTATTAACTTTAATATAAATCTTTAATATAATTAATATTAATCTAATATTTATTATCTTAAATAGTAATTATAAAATTATTTATAAAATATGTATAAAAAATTATAATATTTTAACCCTTCTAATTTTCATTCTTTTACAATTCCTTCTTATTTTTTCTTCTTCTTTAAATATGATACAAACTGGTCAAATTTTTAGATTGATAATAATCAGAATCCTTATACTAGATAATTAAGCTTTATTTTAGGAAAATTTAATCTAAAATGGTGTAAAGTTGATTTTGATTTTTTGTTTTCTTAACTAAATAGAAATTTTTGTGTTATTTAAATATTACTTTACTATTAATAAAGATTATATAAAACTATTGCATATTAAAATAAAATAATTATAATATTTTAACAAGATAAAATAAAAAACTTTTATGTCAATTATTCAAATCAAAAAATGATTAACAAAAAATAAATAAAATAATAATAACAAGTTTAATAAAATTTGTTTTTCTTTACCAAAAAATAATTAACAATAATTTCAGCTAAAAAATAGTTTATAGTAATATTTTAATAACTTGAATTCAACTATAAGAAAAAATAAAAAAATGAAAAATTAAAAAACGAAAAATTAAAAATTAAAAAAATAAAAAAAATTCCTTTATAATATTATGAAAAATATGAAACTAAAGTTAAATTTATTTATATTTTCAATAAAGAAAGACTTTCAAAACTATTGCTAATACTAGTAAAACTTTTTAAATAAAAATTAGATTTTTAACCTTTAGAAAATTGTTTTAATAATAATAAAATTAAAAACTAATAATCTAATTAGAATATAAAACTAAAGTTTCTATTTATTTTACTTATTATATCACAGATACTATTTAAAAAAATAATAAAGAAAACAGAATAAAGTATATAATATCTTTACATTTTATTTTGCATTTTTTATTAATGCATCTTCCTAAAAATATTATAAAAAAAATCATTCAAATAGTTTTACATTTTATGTTGAAATAAATAATATAATTATTTTATGCTTATTTTATTTAAATAATTTTTTTAACGTGCGATAGATTTGCATTTTATTTATATAATTTTACGTTTTTACTCTTTATAAATAAATTTCTATTAAATATATACTAGAATTATAAATTAAAATTACAGAAATCTTAATTTTTATTACTGAGTTAAATATTAAATTAATCTTCTTCTTTTTGGAAATATTACCTGATATATAACATTAACAAATAATTTTATGATAATAAACTACACTTATATTTGAATCTAAAATCAATATAATTTTCCTTAATAAATTAAATAGTTACTTTTTTTTAAAAGATCTTGAATAAATTCACTTGTATATAATATCAATAAAGATATTTAAAAAAATCTGAATTCTTACTTAAATTTATCAATTTTCTTTTAAATATATATGATTAATATTTAATTTTATTAGAAATATAGCTGAAATTATTACTTAAGTAATTTTTAAATTACATATTATTATAGAAACTTATAACATATAATCTATTATTTTAAAAATAAAAAAATTGATAAATACTACTAAAAATAATAAAAGTTATTATTTTAATAGAAACTAATTCTAAGTAAAACTTTATTTTATTTATCAAATACTTAACTATTAATTTTAAAATTATCATAAAAATTAATTTCTTCAAATAATTATCAAATGTAATATTTATATTAATATTATTAATTAATTCAATTCTGTAATTATAAAGCTTCACAAAATTAATCAAAATCTCACATTATTAATAAATTTAACAAAATATAAATAATAAATATTTATCTTTCAAACTTAATTAAAATAAGTATAATAAAAAAATTCTGTTTAAAAATAATCTTAATTCTAATAGTAATAATAGCTTTAATAAAAATAATAAACTTTTTAATTTTATATATTTCAAAATTATCAGATAATCTATATATAAAGGATAAAAAAACTAAGTATGATTATTGTATTCTAAAAGAAAATCTTTATCAATTTAATATACTAATAAGAACTTTTAATTAATTTAAAGCTATTGTAGATTAATTATCCAATTAGATGAAAATCTTTGTTTTACTTATTTATATTTAAAAAAGTTACATAATATAGCATAATAGATTTGTTTATATTACCTTATCGATTATTTATTAATTATATATAAATAAATTATCATATTATATAAAATCAGCTAATCCTAAATTAAAAGTTTTAGACAATATAGCATATGATTGAACAAATTCTATAAATCAATAAATTCAATATTTTAAATTATGTAAAATGTAATTTTAAAATAGTAAATAAAAATTAAGCATTATAAATAAAGTTAGCTTAAGGATAAAATAAATTATTAAGTAAATTACATAATAAATTAATTTTTTAGACTTTTAAGATTTGAGCAAAATCATATATATATAGTTAAATTATACTAATCATTAATTTTTTAGTGAAAATTTAACATATATTATTATGTAGAATTTCTGATCAAAGCATTTTTATATGTGATAAAAATGAATAAATGATCAGCAAATTAATTAGTAAAATATAATAAAATTAAGTATATCTGCTATACTACATAATGTATTACTAGATAAATATTAGAAAAATTAATACTTATATTTATTTTAATCATTATTTAAATTTTATTATTTTTCCAATATAACATAATTTTTTAATATTACTTATTTTATAGATGAGGTAGAGGTGAACCGGCACTTTGTTTACGCTTGTCTTGTTTAGTAATGCCCATTGAATGCTCTTTGGCAATTAATAAGTTGCAACGGTATTTCCAGACGTCATCGTAAAGCTTTTAGTGAAAGAGGAGCAGCAAGCGTGAAATGATGGATAGGCATCGCTTGCCTGCCGAAACCTTCTCAAAATAATTTTGTCATATTCTTTTCTATGTTTTTAATATAGTTTCGACAGTTTCAGCTTTTGTCATATCGAAAGGGTTTCATCGTATCCCTTATTATGATTTTAATATAGTTTCGTCTAAGTTTTGACTGTTATTAAGGGGTTTCGTCTCTCATCATTAACTTATTTTCAATTTCTCTATGATATATATCTATATTTTTATTTAATAAATTGAGTTGTAATATGATAAAAAAATTATTACATCTTAATTATATTGCATAACATTATTATTTTTATTTTTTATATATTTTAATTAAATTTAAAAGTTTATTAAAAAAGATTTTTTAATTATTTTTCTTTATAAACTGCTAGATTTATTTTTTTACTATACTGTAACAGGATTGGATTGACGGACGTGGCGCAAAAGGTTGCAGATCTAAATGTCAGATATATCAGAAATAATTAATATATTTGATATATTTGATATATTTGATATAATTGATATATTTGATATCCTAGACATATATGATATATTAGATTTTACATTTAAAAGTATATAAAGGAGACTAAATCTTTAATAAGAAAAATCATC